TAACCTTTTATTGATTAAGCGGTCTAGTATTTTTGCCAAAGAGGGTAAGATAGATATTGGTCTATAGTTGCCGACATTAGCCATGTCTCCTACTTGGAGATGTTATATTTCTCCCAGGAATCTTTTCAGCTAGTTCTCTGCCAACGTTAGCAAAGTACTCGTTTATGGTGTTTATAGAGTGTTGCGGATTATCTTTCAGTCGGAGGAGTGGGCTAAGGTCTTCATTATTTTTATTTCCTAGTTTAGCTATATCTCCAATGACATTCCACGTCCTCTGTATATTATTTTTTGCTTCATTTAATTTTTGTTTGTTATATGATCGTTCTACTCTTTTTGATAAATCATTGCAAAAGTTTCTATAGCGTTTGTAAGTAGTAATTATTATTGTATTATATGGATATTTTTTATATTTGGCGTGTAGTTTATCGCGGTTTCTTATACATCGCAATAAACCTGGCGTAATCCAAAGTTCTATTTGATACAGTTTTGACCATGAAATAAAGTAAAAGAACTGGAGGCCAAACTCAGAACTATTGGTTGAAGCAAAGTTATTTGACCTCTATTGACCTTTCGTTGGACTCCTGGGTGGCTATGTCATAAATCTAAATTTTCCCGGAACCTGTACCGGTCATTGATGTTATTCGATAATTTTATGTTTACTTTTTGACAATTGGTACTAATAGTATAGTTACACGTCACTAATTGCATAGGACTTAAAAATTTATTTATATATCAGAAATAAGATTGTACATTAAATATACTCTGAAATCCAATCCAATGTAACAAAAAACTTAAACAAAAGGGTTACTAAGCAATAACTACAATTAAATAAAATCTATAATAAAAACGGTACGCAAATATTATAATCAGAAGGCAGATACATAGCTGCAATTTAATAAAAATTATTAACTTTTTACCGTCGTCATGTCAATCTTATTAATCAATAATCCAGACTTGCAATTTAATTTGTTGAATTATTATTAAAACCTATAAATTGTTAAATTATATTCCACTATAGACAGTTTCACATAGAATGGATACGATGACATTTGTTAACAGTTGATGAATAAATATTATTCTCAAATCCTATTTTATATGTTGATCTCAAAACCGTTTATCTCTATTAGAAATAAATTCAATAACATCGAGTTTTTGTATCTAAAAACTTCAAACCCCAAACATCGTCGTACCCATGCTATGTGAATAAGACACCGTAATATTTTTTATAAATTTCCCCATTATTGTGGTAAATGGCATCCTCAAAAAATGGCAACCTCGTGTGTGTCAATATGGCGAATGACAATTACTAATTTCGTCGACTCGAAAATTGTGATTCATATATAAACGTTTCTCGCTATCAAATCGTGAAAAATGGTTCAGAAATGTGTAGTCCTACGTTGCGGAAGCAAATGGCATCCTGGATGTTCTTTGATATTTCACAGGTGAGTCGTAAGTTACTATAATTGATGACTGCTTGCATTTTATAAAAATAATGTTTTTAACGTAAAATCCTTCAATTTTTGATAATTTACAATAATATGGTAGGTATCTAAAGTAATATATGATTTAATTGTTTACAGTAGCATATTTCAGAAATTTTCTAATAAAAGCACAGTTCACAATGTTAAATAAAAATAAACAAATACTAATATGGTGACCATGAAAAAAAGATAAAGGATAAACAATAAAACTGAACTTAATATTTTTTATTTCACTTTTAGTTTTCCCAAGGATCTAATAAGGAGAAGTCAATGGCTTTCGAGTGTCAAATAAAAAAAATAAGTTTTATTTAACTGCAAAAATATACAGTAATCACTTTGTGGCTACTGATTTTATAATAGAGAATCGGTTAAAGCATACAAAAAATCCTTTTTATTCTGATGTGGTAAGTAAAAGTCTATATTCTACTAATTAGGTACTAATTCTTAGGTAGCAAAAATAGAATACAAACTTGCGAGTGAGAACGCGAACTTGTGGCTCGACGTCCTGTATTTAAGATGACACACAAGCGAAAAAGGTCGTCGAGCCACAAGTTCACGTTTGGAAAGAATAAAATATTTTTATTTACTTAATGTAATATGTCATGAAAAAATGGTCTCGAAATATCTTAATTCCCTAATGGCAGGGTTTAGACAAAATAACCATAATTCGTTTTTTTTTCCAGTCGGGACAATCTGATCTAAAAAGTGACGCATTTACCATGCCTTCTACACCTTCAACATCTCGTCGTAGGTTGTCCGATAGACTTGCTATGGTAACAATCAAATAGTATTTATTTTCATCAAAACTGTACTTTTTTAGTCACATATAAATTAAATTTAAAAATAACATAATGTTGTTTTATTTTTATCTGAGAATGACAATTACATCTGAGAATGTAAGAGAATAATGTGATATGTAAATCAGTAAATTGACTTAAGGGTGAAATATTTACTGGGTGCTTATTCCATTTCAATTCGGTCGGAAGGAAGGTAAGCTGACAATCGTAGTCTGCAGTCTTGTAGTTCACTTTGCATATTAGATCTACTCCGTGCTTTGGAAGGCACGTTAAGCAGTTTGTCCCGATTGTATCTGCAGTTGTAAAAACCCTTCAATCCGGAATGGACCCATTGTGGGTACATTAATAGGCTGGTGATTATTAATAAGAGTTTTTTGCCAACTCTAATTCCCACACTGCTAAGTTTTAATCAAACTCAAAAATTGTTATTTTTTTATTTGAGAACCCCCTAACGAGACTCATTAAATACTAGTATACGTACGATACAGTAAGGCTAGCAAAACTTTTTAAAATTTTCTCATTTGTCCCCCGAAAATAACCCTTATTTATAAAAACAAATTTAATTATTTTGTATATCTGTGTTTAGGTCAAAGGATGACAAATTTTACAAGATTTGGTCCAGTAGATTCGGAAAGGCTTTTTGTACGAAACTTTAATAAAGTCAATTTCATATTTGACGGAGAATCTAGATTAGATCTATTAATGTCATATGTAAACTTTACATCTACCTAGGAAAATTGATACTTTTTTTTTTGCCTTAATGTTCTACTCTTTAAACTTGTCTCCTTTATTTTGTAGTTGTGTGGACACCCTATTAGAAAGAGAGGAGGGGGACCTAAGGAATGAAATAGAAAACATTCAAGGTCAAATTTTTGTGCTTCAAGTAGGTATGGAGGAGTTTGGTCTCCAGTTATTTCTTTAGCTTCATGGTTTTGACATTGGTGTTTTCATTTACGATATCTGTGATTTTAGTGACAAGAAATTCTGTGCTTATATTTGTATCGTTGCATTCCACGATTGGATTGAAGTCTGTTTGTGTTAAACTTGTAACTATAGCCTCAAGACTAATAGTTTTGAAACTGGCTAAAGATTTTTGTTCTTGCATGATTGTCCTTACTAATACTGAATATAGTTAAAAAATGATCTGTAATACTTGTTTGCATAACTACTATAGATGTTCTTAAGTTAGATTTTACAATTATGTGGTCCAGACAATTCTTATCTCGAGTAGGGAACATATGGCCAGGAAGGCAACCATGGAAAGCCAATAAATTTTGATAGTCATTTGATTTGTTATCGTTATTTAGTATATTTATGTTAATGTCTCCTGTTATATATATGTTTTTATAGGACTTCAAAGAATCGATTAAATTATTTAAAGAATTAAAAAAATAACTGTATTTTTGTGAGGTGGTGGTCGATACATTGTAATTAAACAGGTACTATTCGGAAGTTTAACTACTAGGCAATTTGTGACTTCGGCAGCAATAGAATCTTTCATATAAACGACGACCCCCTCATTTTGTGTAACTCAATTTAACGTAAAAAAAGAATTGTAATTTTGTAAATCATGAGACATGGATGGCGCCTTCTGATTGTTTTTCTCATAACTTTGGTTTGAAGTAATATTTCATTATAAAATTTGTCTATGGGCTGGCTGAATATAAAAAGGCTATAACCAAATAAGAATTAAAACACTTTCAGAGGAAAAAAGTGATTTGATCGTCAATGAGGAAGTATTTTAAGTAAGTTTGGAAGTAGGAAGTATTTTAAAAGAAAAAACGAAAGCACTAAAAAAGCACCTTCACTAGATGGCGATTCTAGCAAAAGTTGATTTTTGTAGGAAACAAATTGACCAAAAACAGTCATTTCAGTTCCTTTTAACTAACATATTAAAAAACTGAAACTTTAAAAGTTCGAAACTTAGATATCAATACAAATACAAAGAAGTACAAATAGAATTTGAGTTGTTTAGTCCGGCAACTGTTCCGGTTTTCTTTCACGTATAAAAGTAAGTTAATTTTAAAAACCTTTTCGGTTTTTTAATATGTCAGTTAAAATGAACGAACATAACTATCCTTGGTTCATTCGTTTCCTGTAAAAATCAACTGTTGGTAGAGTCGCTATCCAGTGAGGTTCTTTTTTGGTACTTTCTTTTTTTTAAATCATAACCTTATGTAAATTTTGTTTTATTATTTGTTTAAAAAAATACTTCCTATAATTTGGTCTTCGATAGCCTACTTCCGTGAAACCGTGTTCCTAGTTCGTGTAATGTTAACTCCTATTTAAAAAAAAAAAAATTCACAAACAGTAATAGCAAAAATCTACTATAAACAAATAATGATGATTATGAAAATGCTGTTTAGACTTTTAAAAATGTTACTATTGTCATACGTGAATATCAGCCTTTGAATGTTAAAATTTTCTACAACTACTACATATTTATTCTTAATAATTCAATCGATATTTGTGGACATAGATATACGTGCATCCCTAAGTCTGTCAGACAAATGTCAAACAAAATGAAATTTGTTTTTTTTTCATCTTCTAATGTAAGCCAAAGACTATGTTGATTTTAGCAAGTGGTCCTTTTTATTCTATAATTGCTATTTTTTAGAGAGCAATAGCCATTTACGTATCTATTTGGTGTTTAATTTCTGTCTGCATCAGTCATATGTAGTTTATGGTCTGCATTTAGAAGCAAATTAACTTTGCTCTAAAAATGTGGAAGGATGTTAAAGATACTTGTTTTTATTTGTCATACAGTGATATTTGTGACTATGAAGTTTTCGTAACTGACTATTTATCTATATGGTATGTCCGTCTGCCTCGATTAAAATTTCTTCAGTGTTTAAAGGTCTGTACCGCAATATAATCTAATATTGACAATTATGCATATGTATTTATATACTTTTTTATATCGGTTTTAGGACAGTAATACTTTACTTCATATGAAGGATGATGTTATGGTAAATAAAGCTGTTGATATACTTTCAAATCCAAACGATATAAAAAATGCTAATACCAAAGTGGAGACAAACTCTCTTACTTTAACTATGACAAAGCAGTTTGGATACACATTCAAATTGATTTTAAATCTATCAGAGGGCTCAAGAGAACTGGTAATAAAATATTATGACTTACATTACAAGTATGATTGTTAAAATGATATTGCTCTATCATACTCTTAGTAATCTTTGTAGTTTTTTTTGAAGATAACCCAGCCATTAATACAAAACATTCAACAACTGAAAGACAATGAGGCAGAACTATGTGACCTTCTGATGAAAAAAGACCAAGAAATTAAAAAATTAAGAACCACAGGACAAACTCATTCACGTAAGTGTAATCTTATGGAGATATATTTGAAATGCCTTTATTTTTGTTCTTATTTGTGTACTAACATTTTTAATACATAAATACTTTTGTCAGTCTATCTGTTAAGTTTTTACATCTATACAAGTGAAGTTAAAGAAATAAGGTAAGTATTGAGATAAAGTTGTGTAAAAGACAAACATTATTTTTCTATCACAAAATGGGGTTGAAGGGAAGGAAATACAGGAATAAAATTTGTATGGAAGTTCATCGTTGCAAGTACAAAGTAGGAATTTACTAAGCAGTAGGCAAAAGGTAGTGAACAATTATTATTGTTACAATAGACACACAGTATATTTTTAAGGGTAGTATTAAAACGAGTGACTGTAAATTAAAGTTTTAAGTGTCAAATATAATTAATTTACGTCATAGTATTACTAAGTGAGCGACTGACTGCAGAAGATGAGAAATCAACAGAACAGCAACTTACAAACATTAATTTGAGTTACTTAAAATACACAATGAGATGCTTCTTAATATTTGAACGACCTAATATTTGTTTGAGCGCCAACATTACATCCTGCATTGTTTTCAATATTTGGCAAATGTTTTTTTATACTGCGCCGCATTTTATCTTATATAGAGTGTTTCAAATACAAAAACCATTTTGAAAAATACTACAATGAACATAGTATTATGTGCTCATATTTAAAAAAAAAAGAAACACAATTATATAGCCAAGAAAATTATTAAAATTTAAGGATAGGCAAATTAAATGAAACAATGTATTCTGAAAAAATAAATTAATATGCATTAAGGTACTTAAATCAAATTAATAAAACAAAAAGACGCTTCAGTCAACTAACTTAAAGTACTTAATCTTCACATTAATTGTAACAAACATTGATAAATACCTACGAGGAGCCTTACTCTCGTACTCGGCTTGGACTTAGCAGGTCAGCCTCGTTTTCTTTTTTTTTCCAATGGAAATATATTTTGCTTCCAGTGGTGGTGTTGTTAATTTCGGCCAAATTGCTAGGCTCAAAACGTGTTTGCATACATATTTATTTAAAAAGTCGGAACAGTCGCACGATCTTTTTGGCCAGTCCAAATTTGGCAGTGTAACATTCAAAAGATTGCCAGCTATCAGTACAGTTTTTATCTTTCGAAAGTTCGTTGCAAATTAAATATACTTTTTTGGTAGGATCAGATGCTATGTCATTAAGAAATCATATCAAATTAAATAAAAATAAGACCTCACATAGAATAACAATAACCAATAATCATTGATAATGCGGCTTACAAAACATTGCTTAAAGTGAACTTTTTAGTAGTTCGTTGGAAAAAACTTCAGTTGGAAAAAATCTAATCTACCTTAATATTATAGTTGCTCTCCTTGTATATTTAGTCGCTCACTTAGTAATGTAGTCGCACAGACAGAATTGTAATATCTAAAATGTATTAAACATAACCCACTTTTTGTTGGCTTGTTTTGAATTTGATCATTAATCAATATTCGTCGTTAGTTAAGTTAATTTTCCGCTTACTCAAATTTATATTATCAGTCGCTAAGTTCTTTTTTAGTCGATCGTTTTATAATTCCCCTATTTTTAAGACAAATTACCTGGTTCCTAGTTCTATGCTCTAAATATCATCACTAATTTCACTCCCTTTAATTTTCATTATCTTAACTCAGACATGCTTTTATGGGTAATTTTATTATTTGATTTATAATTTATTATTGCTTTGTACACTAACTAGTTGACTGAAAGGAAATACCTCTGGGGCAAATGGCATCACTAGTTTAAGGCATGAATAATAAATAAATAATTTAGCCTTATTTATGCTAAAGTTGAAAGTGCATAGCAGACCATAGCATGTTGTTAATGAAATGAAATAATTATCAGATATTGAAGATATCTAGAATTGTTGTAAATCTGATAAAAAATCTGTTGAGTGTCCCAGGTTAGTAAGTAGTGAATGGATAATTCTTCATGGGGCTAAAAGAGATGTGATTCTTCTTTTATAATATAGGTATCAACTCTAAGCGTAGAAAGTTAGACAAAAAGACCAATTCAAAAGTATTTTCTTAACTTTATTTATAAACAGGGACTGAATAATACCAAACTAAAGTAAATCATGGAAATATATTTTAATTGGGATAGTGAGTAGTGTAAATGCATGTTATTGCACTTATATTATATTGCTACTTATTGTAAAATTAGTATATCACTTTGTGTTTCAAAATAAATAAAAAAAAAACAGTGACATCACCCTAAATCAAACATTTCTGATATAGAATGTGTTTTAATTTAACTATTTCAAATATATTGATATCTCTACTGATATATTTTTTCAGATGAAGAAACAGTCATATTTAATAGAGATACTTTTCTCAGAAAACATAATGATTATTATCGAATTCCTGATAAATTACCAAGTACAGTATTGGATAAGGTGGTCTTTGCACCTGAAACTGTTATAAATGTGTAAGTATTAACTAAAATAATTTGATTTTTAGGCATTTTGCTTATATGAATGTGCTGAATGGCTTGAGGAATAAACATTTATACACCATTTTCAGAAAACCAGAATCTTTGAATGGCACCAGTGATGTAAAATTTAACATTAAAGCAGAACCTAATTCGCAAATAACTGATACATTAACTATAGAACAAATAGCTAATGTAAAAGATGAAAATGAACCAAAAGTAAAGAGAGAACTATCAACAAACTTATCAAAGGAAAGAAAGAAAATAAAGAAACTAAACTTTTAAAAGAAATATTAAGGTAATAAGTATGAAATTTGCTATTATGCGAAAATATTGAGAAATATGTATAGAGCAAGATATGGGAATTATAACTTATATTTTTATGAATTTAACATTTTATTAAAGGAAAATAATGACTTAATAAAACTCTTGTTATATATTAAAACTTTATTTATATATAGAACAGTTAAAACTTATTTAAATTGTGCTGTTTCAATATGTTATCACACTTTGTGATTAAATTGGAGATAGTTATTTTTTCAATTGCTTTAATTACCAAATTATTGACATACTTTTCAATTAATATGAAATATATTTCTTTCAATTACTTTATTAAGATATGTGAAGTGAAGTTAAGGAAATCCATAGTTTTTAACAAAAAGAAATGCCAGCAATTAGCAAAAAATAAATGAATTGCATGTAATTTTTTAGTAATCAGCAGGTGTACATGTTTAGTAATTACACTTACATTGAATTTCTACATATTGGATTGAATCAAAATGCACTCTGTATTCAATGCTGCAAAAATAAATGAATCTGATGTAATTTTTGAGTGATCAGCCAGTCTAGGTGTTTACTTGAATTACACTTTCATTGAATTTCATGATATTGGATTAAATCAAAATGCACTCCGCATTCAAACAAATCTAATACTAACCAATTTAATGTAAGTGTAGTTACGTATTTCAGCTTCGAGGACTTCGATTTTATATTTATAAGTGTTTAAGTAACTGCAAATTGATGCATATATTATATGCATTACAAAACAAAATATATTTTGCCTCACAACTATATTTTTTAATTAGATAATTTATAAGTTCTAGCATATATATGTTATTTTCAATTTTTTTTAATAAACATATGAATTATGATAATATAAAATAAAACTATATTTTTTATTGCACGAAGAGTGGTGAAAATGAGAATTTATTAAAAATAAGTTGTAAATATTGTGTGTATGAAATGTGAAAGGTATACTTAGTGTCTATTTTTTTATTATTGGCTGTAAAATTTATGACATTAATTTTCCAATTGTTTGACATTTTTTCTAGGAACTAGTCCCCTATGTGGGTTTAAAACACGTTGATGATTTCATATGTATATATAATGTAAATTTAACTGATTTAATTTCATGTGAATGCGTCTATGTTTACTTTTAAACTTCTATTTGTTTCGTATGTAATTATTTATGTTCCAATGAGCTGCGTATCAAACTTATGAATTTAATTTAATTTATTTTGTAAATATAAAAGTAAAAATAGATGTCCCCTAGTTTATAAGAGATTATCAGCCAGTTGTACAGACGTCCATTAAAATTGACATTAGTTTCAAGCGACATTACAAATACATTTTTGACATTCATTAGTGCTTAAAGGCGCCATTTAACCTTAATGGACGTTAGTGCAACTGACCATATATTTAATTTCTCCAATGTAATCGCATTAGTTGTAACCAATATGATTGATAGTAGTATTACTTATTATTTAGCAACAAATAGTCCCTAGTTGTTGTAATTATAAATTCGTTAGATATTACAATGTGCTTTTAGTCTATCCAATGTATTTACTGAGCAATTTTGCAATAGTTTTATATTATTTAAATGTATATTCATGATACTAATAATGATTCCTAGTTTAGGTTCATTTACAAAATGTATTATGTATGTAAAGCCTGTTTTCTGAATCACAGTAATAAAAAACTTTTGAAGTAATTTATTTGTTATTTCTTAATTCAGTCCTATGATACTCTCGGTACTATATTTATTAGTAAACGGCTTGAGGATGTTAGAATATTAAACAATCAACAACAGGTCAATAACCAACTACAAATCTTTGATTACGCTGTTTAGAACAATGTAAATACAAAAAAGTTTGAAGTTAAAACAGTTATGTTAGTCCTTTTTTGTTTTACATTATTTTCTTAAAGCTTTTTCTTTTAAATAGCTACAATACATTTGATGGTTTAACTTTTTGAAAATCGCCAACTAAAGCTCGCTCACCTATATCAAAGTTAGAGCCAAAGCGATATATAGAAAAAAGTTTTAATGGTTAAATTAACGATTGTATCAAGTACCTTTCTATACTCTCTGCTAGACCTCTCTTTAGTCTTTGCTAGTCCTCTGTTTAATCTTTGCTAGGCCTCTGTTTAATCTTTGCTAGTCCTCTGTTTAGTTATTTACTTAAATTGTTAGGCCTCGGGTAGCTCAGTAAGAGCATTTACCAGAGTTGCGCATGGATATGGGTTCGTACAGGACTTATGAATTTTTTAACATTTTTGTTTAAGATAAGTTAACTTAAAGATTCATATAATCAAGATAGATAATATCAAATATAGTTAATTTATCAAATTTAATAAAAGCTTTGTTTGTCTACATTGGAGTATTTTTTATCATCTTAATTTACACAATCAAACTTAATATGATTCAGAATAATTGATAAAAACGATATTAAATATCTATAGGGCTCGGCTTTAGCTTTGAGTTAAGCGTTAGCGCCGCTGATTCGCGTGGTATAACTGTTTATAAATACATTTTTGGAAAAAAAAAAATGTGATTCTGTCAACTACTCTTTCGATGCCTATTTACTGATATTCATCCGTTTACAAAGACAGATAATTATTTTTCTTTGTAACTTTCCAGTAAGCGCAAAGTGCCGAGATATCGAAATAGTGCTCCCACCTTGCAACACACATTCTCAAGGAAATTATGCATCCGACTGATACGATGTCTTCAAATTAACAAATTAATTATAAAGGTCATTTTGAAAATCAAGTAAAGTTCCGAGTAATACTAATTACTAACACTTAAGTCTTATTAACAAGATACTGCGGTGCATTTGAAAATTGCGACAGTTCTTACACGCATTGTAGCACACAGTATAACGCATAAAGCACTAGTTTATATTTCGAAAGGAGTGTCACTCTAGGATGCATCCCATCCAGTGGCGGACTAACCTCATCGAGGCCATATATATATATGGCCCCCGAACGTTTAGTCCACATTAGTCCACCACTGATCCAATCATTCTGATTTAAATAAGACTGTACAGCTTAAACTTTCTTTTTGGGTCCTAAAATTACGCATCACTATCCTTTCCTTAATCGAAGGCTAGTGACCCAGCAGCTTGCCGTTCCAAAAGTAACTAAGGCAGAACAGACCCACTCATATAAATCTCCAAAAATAGGACAGCGTATGTAATTAATAACGCGTGGGAAAAGTCCTTTCATATATAGTATGCATAAACGTTTAATAAAAATCTTTCTGGTTATACCATTTGTATGAAGTTGGTTTGGATATCATTAAAAAGTTTAAATTGTAGAGAAGGTAACTGAATTCAAGCTAGCGAAATGTGTGACTTTCATTTGTTTTTCGTCCTGTCAAAATGAGTGAATCTAATGAACATTTTAAAATTTTGTTACAAAAACGGTAAAAATGTAACGCAATCCGCGAAAATTCGTATAGTTTGTGAACCTAGTACAGTTTCTGTGAGAGTATCAAAAATCGTTTTCAGTCTAGAAATTTTGATGTCAAAGATGCACGTCGCTCCGGTCGCCCTGATACGGATAAAAAGGATTTGAAAAAGTGGAGCAAGATCAGCATCGGTATCGGTAGTTACGACCCGACGTAGCTGAAGAACTGGGGATTGACAAATAACAGTTTTGGCGCATTTGAAAAAAGCTGGGTACACAAAATTTGGATATTTGTGTACCTCACGAGCTCACTGAAAGAAACCTAATGAACCGTGTAATCATTTGTGATTATTACGGCGTAATGAAACCGAACGAATTTTGAAGAAGCTCGATGTAGCGAAATTTATATACCTAGAAATTATACTCTTTATAGTTTTCATATTGTTTAATGTCACTTGTGGACAATGATTACTCAGTTTTGATAAGTGAACTATAATTCTCAGCGAGTGAGTAACAACGCAGAAATAGAATTTTCCTTAGTCTCTTAATTATATAATTTGTTGAGTATTTAAGAAGCGTTTAAATTTCTACATCCAAACCATCCAAGTTGAAGTTGACATTGAATATTCTGGTGAATTAAACACAGTAAGCAACTCCCAAATAAAATAAAATAACTGGTGAAAAGTGGATCACGTTCAACAAGAACGTGCGAAAAAGGCTGTGGTCAAAAGTCGGTCAGGCTTCACAGATTATGGCGAAACCCAGGTTAACTCAATGCTGTGTGTATGGTGGGATTCATTATAGCTATTACCGTCGGGAAGGATCAATAATTCTGAACCAACAGTTTGGCTGGGAAGTGTTAATGCATTCGCCGCGTAGTCCTAACCTTACTTGCGCCTTCAGATTTTCAGCTGCCTCTTCAAAATTCGTTTGGCAGTGTCAGTTAACACGCGAGGCCTACCAGAAACCACTTATCGCGGTTTTTTGATCAAAAGCCCCAAAATTTCTATAGCAATGAAATCAGGTCATGTAGGATCCTACCTACAAGATGGCAAAAAGTTGTTGACAAAATGGTACCATGTAGGTAACCATGTCGTTTAACTTTAGTTACATGTAAATAAACTTTATAAAATATGTTTTGTATTTTCATATAAAATGCGAAGAAACTTTCCCCAACCTATTATAAAAAATTGTGAGCAAATAAATAACAGATAGAAACGACACCTGAGATAATTGGTAACATTCAAAAGTGTAGGATTAATCCTATTACCTGAAGTTTAGGATTAGGTAATAATTGATTTATCTAACTGCAGATAAATTTTGTTACTTTCTATAGGTAACAGTGAATATGACAGTAGTTGGCCAATAGTTTAGATATATTTATTTAATATATTAATGTGGATCGGAACTTGCAAGCTAAATTTGAGCATACATTGCAATATTAATATGAAATGGAGTTCATCGATGTTAAACCTAGAAGGTGTTTTACCATGGGACCTCAGTAATTAAATGAAACAATACCGTCGAGTTTATGCTCTTTTGAATTATATTGACAAGGACTTTGGACTGGTATGACATAAAATTCAGAGTATGGTGATAGAATTGGAAGGTGGTTTTGGGAATTTTGTCGTTAAATAATACAACTTGTCGAGTTTAAGGTCGTTCTGGGCTCGCGCTGGCACTGGATAATATCGAACAAAAATCTGTTTAAAAAAAATGTATAGTTTGAATTCGACTATTTTTTGTATACTCTCACATTCTTGCTGAATATGGAGTAGTATTTAATAACTAGAGAATAATATAAATTTTCATAGTGCTGTACAGTCATAAGTTTGAAAGTTTCTCGTTCCGCGTGTTTAGCAGAGAAAGCTTTGTTTCTTTACCCTGCATTACTTAAAACAAAACGATCTTTAACATTTCTACTTGTGTCTGGAACGTCTACTATAATTCTTACATCCATTGGGATTACATCGTTTGATAGCAACAGTTTCATTAATAAAAATCAGCTAACAGCTACATTTTGACACGTCTGTTTCAGATTCAGATGGTTTTATCACGCTATCTCTTTCCTTCAGTTCAAAAGCATCCGCCTGAAAAAAATAACTTTCTTAATGGATATATTTGCAGTCAGTGCAATATTTACGTATAATATCTAAATAGAACATTTTTAAGAATATATGTAGGTGTAACTCACCTTTGTCTCTCTGTATTCTCTAATTTTTCTGGCTAACGTTAAGAATGCTTCTTCTATATTGATGTTGTTTTTACAGGATACTTCGAAGAAAGGCATATCGAAATCATCTGCGATCTGAAAATAAAATCGAACAGAATTAGAGACGTTAGTCAAATATAGGAACACAAAGCTGTTTAACCAAGAAACACAAACCTTTTGCCCTCTTTCTTTAGGTACAGCTCTATGGTTTTCATGGACATCACATTTATTGCCCACAAGAACTTTAATTACATCCGGAGAAGCATACTGAAATTAAAAAAAAAAAATAGCATAACAAAAACGCTATAGTGATAGCAACTTTAAGAATAAGCACTTTTTAACTGTTATTATAGCAAATAATCAACATTTTTAAATAATAGATATGTATGTCATTATTGGATTGGAGTTGTACATTTATTGTTCTTTTATCGTCATTAGACATGGCACCACTGTGATTTTAGACTTAGATCAAATTTCATTAAAGTTAATAATAATTTAATAGTCATTTGAATGATAAAGGAAATTATTTATAATAGTTTTATTAAATTAACAATTCCATAACAATTATTAGATGTATCGATTATGTAAAAGTTATAGTTTTTATTACTTATTTACTTCACATACTATTCAGCTCTATTTGTAAAGCCTCCTACAAATCATATTATGTCTAATGTTGAAATTAAAAGGCAGTGCTCAGATTTTTTGGCCAGGTTCCGTCCTTGTTACTAAGTTAGGCAAACTCATTGGACCTTCCAATCGGTCAGCTGGATTGAGAAGCATTTTTTTTTTTTCATTCTAAGTTATATTCTTATATTATTGTCATTGTTAATTTAAACAACCTACAAGTACCCATAGATATACCTACCTTAGGCGACTAATTAACTATTCCATTTCGAATTAAATCTGTTGATTCAACAGATTGTGTTATGAGGAGACTAATTTAGGACCACTATTAAAAGCAGCTTTATTAAATGTGAAATTGAATCGTCTATTGGCTACAAATAATATTTTTATTAATGTAACTGCCCACGGGCGCCGCCTATTCCCCTGTTTCTCCTGTAGGTATGCAATTTACAAGATTTAAAAGGTCAAGCTCCCTGTACAATGGATATGGATATTTTATATAAAACCTTTCTGATTTATACGCCTGAACCTTCCTCATAAATGACCCACCAAAGTACTCGTTACATTTAAAAAAAGTAAGAGCATGAAGGAAAATCTGTTTATTTATCTCAGTTACACAGACAGATTATGTAGTGGGGCTTAGTGTTATAATAACTACGTAAGCACAAGTCTTCGCTACGGATGAGATCAAACATGGAGAACGAGCCATAATCTACCACGCGCATCCATTGCGAAGTGATGGGTGTTTACGACTCCAGATTACGCCGGGATCAACACTTAACGTGCCTTCCGAAGCTTGGAAAAGCTTGCAATAGTTACTTAACTCGCCAATCTCATTATAGAGAGATACTACCTACTTATTATGTTCATATAGAAGAGTATATGCCGTTGCCGTAAAAAAAGGAAATTCTATTTAATCTGTCAGTCAGATAATGGAAAATGTTTTTTGCTTCAATTTAACAAGAAATAGCTCAGATAACAGGCATTAAATTTGAGGAGTGAGGCACGCCACCACACAACTATGTAGAAAATGTACTAAGGTGTGAACGTCATGCGACATTTTAACTATGACGTAAATTATTGATGACGCAAAATATACGTGTTTAATATTCCTTAAAATATCTACCTGACGTACAGACAAACAAAAATTAGTCAACATCATGCACCAATATTAATAAATTATTTGAGAGTTATTTCATTGAATTGTTTTACATCCAACAATGTTCAAGACATGAGTCCTTAGATACTAGAATAACACGTCATATCTTAATCACTTTTGAGGATCGTCAGCTGGACCGACCTATTTTTATACGTTGTCTATGTTTTTATAGTTTTTTTTTTATATTTATTTGATATTTAATAAAAAAATATTTAATTTTGTTTTTGTTATTGGCATGTGGTATTTTGATTGATTGGCACGTGCTTTGGCGAGGACCCTGGCTATTGTGGATAATAAATAGTTTTGTTAAGACTATAATTGAATTTATTTTCACACCTGTTCCACACCAAGTATTCGCCTTCTTCGTCGATAACAACCACATTAACCATATATGACATTACAAAATCCATATATGCTGTAATGTAGTAACTAAAGTTCATTTACAAAATAAATACCTCTTGAATCAGAATAATTGCTAAAAACGAGATTGCTACCATCCACTTTTTATTTTACGAGTTAACATATTACCTCTTGTATATTCCGCAGCCAATAAGAGAGATGATTAAAAGATTCGAGGTTGGTGATGTCATACATCAGAATAATTCCCATCGCTCCTCTATAGTATGCTGTGGTGAGGGTTCTAAATCGCTCCTGTCCAGCTGTGTCCCATATCTGAAGCTTTATTGGGACACCATCGAGGTTTATTATCTTCTGTTTAAAGTCTATGCCTGGAATTTGAGAAAAAGGCTTTTTGTTACAGCATTTTCTGTTTAAAAATCGAAATTGTTTATTTTTGTGTACTTAAGCTGATATATCTAACACCTACATGATTTTAAATCTGCCCTTACAAGTGAATGACACCTTATATCACAGAACACTTATATAGTCTTGGTAACTTTTCACAAACAATGACTCATGCTTAAAACAAAGAAAAGTACTTGTTCTATACAAATTATTGAGATCAAAATGTCCATAAGGTTTAACCGTAACCGTATTAATATGTATTATTAATACAATTGTAAATAAACTTTTTAATTCCATCATAAGATCCTTTGTTTTTATACTATCAAACAAAATATGATTCAAATTTTCTATGTGAAAACGATTGATTTTGTCGAACGAGAGAGTGTGAAGTATAATTTCAATAGCCTTAATTAATAATATTTTAGTATAATACAGTGAAAGTATTTTTAGTGTAGTATTTTCTATAATTATATCTTCTAAATTTGTATTAATAGCGTTAAATAAAAGTTTAAAACTTATATTATATAGGAAATTAATGTTGTCGTAGTAAAAATCACTACACAATTTTCCGCAATGAAATTTAAAGCTTAAATGTAAATTTTGCTTACCTATTGTGGATATGTAAATATCGTAATATCTCTCGTCGCAGTATCTGTGCACAATACATGTTTTTCCTACGTTGGAATCTCCTAAAACTAATAGTTTATATGTAGCGGAAAAGTCTAAAGCCATTTTTTGTTTACTTTGTGGTGGCTAGTGCGACGGCTTTCTCAAAACACAGACGGAACTGTCAAATTCGAGAAAAATCAATGAGGGTAAATGCGCATGCGTGGGGTCGTCGCGCCTTCTTGCAACGAGCTATTGCATTTTTCAATGCACTTGTATTTCCCTAGACGATTAATACAGAACGAGACGCCGTTCGGGTGTAGCAATGTTATGGTTACTCTTCTGCAACTAAAGCTAAAAGCGCTTCTTGTAAAATGTGGTCGTTGTCGAGACACCAATAAATATTTTATTTATAGTTTCCTCTACGGGAATGAGACATAGATGCGGTATTGAAAATTTCAACTCTAATTCGATACTTTCTAGATCGAACAAAATCTGTCATCAAACCTTGATGACTTGTCTACGGAAATTTTAAGCATTTACGCCCAAAATTTTATTTATAAAACAAGTCGCATTTATGTTTAAACTTTCTATACAAACTTACTCATCGTTGTCAGTTCCTTGTAGATAAACTCGAATAGGGAGAATGGGCCATGATTTACCACACGGATCTAATGCGAATTAGAGAATGTTTAATACCCTCCAATGATAAATTGTCGGTCACCCATCCTATAACCGGCTCTTGAGATATTTGATTAACATCCGCATTGCAAAACGAACACACTAACTACTGCGCCATGGAGTTCATCAAAAAAAAATACAAAAAAATTGCAGAATAATCCGTTTGCTAATTTTATTCAATGCAAATCTACTTTGCTAATCGTGATCATAATTTTTTACCTTGTTAACAATTTCAATAATTCTATTAAACAGTAGTTTTGTAAAATGGCACCAACATTTATATATGGAGAGCTCGATTTTTTAGAATTTTTGAGTACTTATACATAAGTAAGCACCCACTGCGGAGATCAGGTGCTGGATTCCCTGGTGGCGGCAGAGTAATGTAAAGTATGAAAAGTAGGGTCCGGGCGGGTAATAAATATTAAAAAACCACGATCACATGCAAATAGTTGTCATTAAAATCGTGAATATCTTTAAAATTGAGAAGGATAGACTTTAAAATTAAACAATTAGACCTTCGGTTTAAGTATTTCACCTACGTTATAAAAAAGTTATTATATGTTATTAAAGTACTAGACCACTTATAAAGTTTGTGCATTAATAAAACTATTAAAAAATACACTACTGGATTCATTCGACTGGGTAAACAAAAAGTTGGAGTAATCATATTAAATTGATGATCCCGTCAATACGTTTATTGTTATTGTAATGGGCTAACACACGCAGTTGTTTCTCAACTAGATTACGCATCGTATCCTATGTCAACCTTCCGGGAGCGAGTGCGGGTGGGTGTGGTACACTCGGTCTCAAAAATGTTAATCTCATTTAATTTTTTCTTTATTAATAACTTTCCACCAGCAGCTTCCTTCGCCCGCATGATCCTGTATTATACATAAAAACCTTATTCTTAAATAACTCTGTTATTGTCAATTAAAGACCGCAATAAAATCTGTTGTGTAGTGAAGACAACGGGCTAAACGTCGAAAAAATTATCTCAGGTTTTTCAGGACATTTGTCTTGTAGCTATCTTGAGACCGTCTTGACCGCTAGACGCTCGCATTAATTATAGGATATATTTTCACAAAGCTCTTGCAACTAGATCACAAAATAATAAACATCCGTAACCACCATCTTAATACGCCAATAATAACATTGGGCGAAAGGAGCAAAATTTCTAAAATTATTTTTTATCATATTGATTACAAATGGCCAGTTCTAAAAACCTTTCAGTGTTATAACCTTCTTCGTAAAAACTACAATATTGTTGTCACAACGTATACCCAGTTAATGTCTATCAGTAACATCATATATAAGCTTTTTTTTTTTTAAGTTCCTTTTTTTTTAAGTTATAACGATTATTCATACGATGCTACCAAAGATAATATAAGGTACATTAAGAGCTCCATTTATTTAACTTAAATCTTTGATAGGGCGTATCTCTACTATACATCGAGCGGCCGGGCGGAGAGCGCATGTAAATGTCTTCTTGTGTTTTTGTATTAACGCTACTGCCTCGCTCTGCGATCTGCTATCGAATCTTTTGTTTCCGTTTGTCTTATGTTTTTGTAGTTCAAGGATAAGATTTTTGACGTTTATTGTGCTTTATGTATGTTCATAAATTTTTATTACTGTTTACATTATCGTTAAAAATAAGATCGGTTTTATGCGCTACATTTATTTACACCACTTGAATATCTCTACTACGACCCAAAAGTATTCTAAGTATGCAAAAATGGTACTTACGAAGTACTTTTTTTTTATTTTATTGCTTCAAGTAAAAAGTGCAGATGCAGTCGTCTAGTCAACAAAAGGCGTTAGATCATTTTTCCGCTAGTGGTAATCGAATTATTAAAACAACATTTATTCTAAAGGTATCTCCATTAAATTACATAGGACTTTATATTTATTTCATAAAGCGTTAATATCTAAATAACATTATACAAAGTTGCAGGGATTCTTAAAGAAAAACTATTTAAAGTTTATTACTCAATACTTTGTTGTAAACTATAACTGCAGTCTGTTATTTAATATGACATTCTAGGTCGCTCAGTAAGAGGTAAGCGAATGTGGTAAACTGGTAACAACTTAATTTATCATACCACAATCCGCGACTTTAGTATATTGTCAATAGGCGTGATTTTGACATGTGCTTACAGTTTTGCTATTCAAGATGGTTTATGCCGCTACTACTGTTTCTCTGCAATTTTCTCGGATGACAAATGCTTCTTTGTTTCTAGCAGTTCAATGTTCCCTTACTTTATTTATAGCCAATGAGACCGCAACTCACTTAGTTCCCTTATGATTTTTCCTAATGCTACTAGTACCTATGGGAATAGCCAATTTACCAATCAAATAATCTTTAAATCTTTATTGAAAATCCGAAAGTAATTTTTAATACCTATTCCTTAACTAAGTGAAAGAACGAGAAGGTTCTGTGTTAGCATGTTATTGTATTTTTTATGTAAATTGATAAATTTTTAACAGGAGTACCATTCGAATTTGAAGAATTTTAAATGAATTCATTCGAATTCTTTTTATTCTAAAGATACTCCTTTATAGTTTAATGGATGTCGAATCAGAAATCAATATAAGTGGAAGAATGTTTTAGAAGCCCTTCATAGATATGATTTTAAGAGCGATAATTTTAATACTTTCGTGAGCGTATACCACGTCTGATGCTGTCAGAAGTAGAGGCAGTGGATTCAAAACAAAGATGCAAATAAGTTTTAAAATTATTTATCGATAAATATAGGAACAATAATAATAGGGATCACGCCTGACGATGTCAGTTAGAAAATAATAAAATATTAGATACGTATTTTTTACTTTAATTTAACAAGAAATAGCTTAGATAACAGGCATTAAAGTTGAGAAGTGGGGGCTCGTTACGTCACAGTTTTGTAGTAAACGTACCAAAGCATGACTTCATGTGACTTTTCAGCTCAATGTATCGTCGTAATTTATTGATTACGCAAAAAAAAAAACAAAAATAATACGTGTTTAATATTTTTCAACAGTCTACCTTACGGACAAACAAAAACAAAAACCTGCTCTACGCCTCTGTTATTCCCTACGTCTGACTATTAGCTACGTTTAGCTTTTAACTTCTAAACCACGCAACATATACCGATGCGGTTTTCTTTGTTGAATAGGATTTTTTTTTGAGAAAGGTTTTCAAGACGCGATAAGGCATCGACTTTCACTTAGAGTTTCGATCATAGAGGTACAGAAAGTAATGTAACGGTCTTGATATAATGTTGGACCCAATTATGGCAATTTTAATTTTAGACGAATCCGTTTCGTAGTTTTCGTGCAGGTAACATATATATTCCTTTAAACCCATCGGTCAATATACTTTAACCATCACCAAGATAATGCCGAGGGTATAAATTTAATTATCAAATAATACTTTTATAACTAAATAAATAACGGGATTTGTGATCCGTTGTAGGTATATGAAGGGCAAGTGGAACTTAGACGCGAACATAGCTGTATATTCGTGACGCTCTAGCCGGCTTAACCTTGGTGACCCGCAAGCAGCTCCTTCATCGCAACATGTGAGACGGGAAAGCATTAATTTTCATCATTTGATGCCAACGTAAGCCAATGGACTTACATATCATATCGAGACAAATTTGCGACTATCATCTCGTTAAAAATCCTTTTCCAATCCCATAAGTTTATGGATAAACCATCTACAACCCATATCGACAATCAAATGTATATATCATAGAGTAGATACTGCAAGGTACTCATGAAATTAATTTTATAGCCAGCCAATTAAGATTACATTATGAAATGTCAATTTACCGTTTTTAATTGACGTATCAATAAAGCACAGCCACTTCCGACCATGGCTAATGTGCTAATGCATTGTCCAATGACGAAATGGCTTCGGTCATTGACACTAATAGATCATCGATTAATGTTTTAATATTTTTATTTAAATAGATTTAGTTATTTATTTTTTAATTAACATAAAGGCAGTAAAATTCCTTAATTAGTTTCTTGTAGTAACTTGCGTTATTTTGGCTGGCAAAAACATAATAAAGCTTGTTGTTTTCCGAAACTTCATGGTCTAATAAAATCACTTTCCAAATAGATTTCTCTCTATGAAATAGAACAGGGAGAAATAAAGCAGCCCTTGCTGTTTTTCTTCTCGGTTCTTCTCAATAGGTCCTCTACCGTAAGTTTGCGAACCAATAGCGTAAATTTCTACCTTCACAAGTGTTTGTACGTGTCTAAGACGTAATGAAGGATATCCAATTTTGATTTGAAAATCTTCGTATATGCTAGAACATCATCTAATTCTTGTTTTGCCCGCTCACGTTGGCGTTCCGCCATAGCCATTCGGCTCACTATAATATCTATTAGACTATCACTTTCGGTCTCCGAATGCTCCATTGTCAGTGATAGGATCTTTATTTTTTTTTGTTTAATGAGTC